CAACATTATGGCAACTTATATCACTGTAGCAGTCACCAACTTCATTTCAACTTCACGGTCTTGAACATCACTGTCACAATCACACTCCACTGTCACAGTCACTGCCCAGCACACAACAGGACAACCTTGGTCACTGGACGTACCAGTTCCGTTGTAGCAGTTTTTATTCGAACAGTCCTTACATAACCGTTCTTATCTGTGATTACAGATAACACCCGGCCCATAGACCATGCATTCCTTGGGGACGGGTCCATCAACAAGACAATATCACCCACCGCCAAGTTATCCTTCTTGTGATACCATTTCTGTCTTGTCTGGAGTAGGGGGCAAGTATTCATTTCTCCATCTTCTCCAAAAACTGTCTGCAAGGTGTTGTATATGCCGCCATCTTCGCTTGTACTGGTCATCTCTGTCGAATTCACCTGGCGGCATGTTGACACCAGATCGTAGTAACAGGAGATGGTTAGGAGTCAAGGGAGACAAATCCGTAATGTCATGTACCTCTGTAAGCGGTCTGCTGTTCACAATTGTCTCTACTTCACACATTAAGGTGTTCAAACCTTCGTCATCAAGCTTTACAGCTTGGTCTTTCAGAATTGAATACATGATTTTCCGGACAGTTCTTATCATGCGCTCCCATATTCCGCCGTGATGTGACGCCGCAGGAGTGTTGAAACGCCAGATTATCCCCCTTTGTAGGAATACTGAGTGCAACTTGTCTTTACTCAAGGCCTTCAGACTTTCTCTTAGTTCATTTGCACATCCCACTAGGTTGGTCCCATTGTCACTGAGTATTGACTTGGGCTGTCCGCGTCGAGCAATGAAGCGTCGCACAGCGTTGATGCAGCTGTCCGTATCTAAGGAACTTGCGACTTCTAGGTGGATGGCCCTCATAGCAAGACAAGTGAAAATAACGCCATATCGCTTCACTTGAGATCTGCCTCGCTTTACATAAAACGGACCAAAATAATCCATTCCAACGTGAGTGAAAGGGGGGTAAATCAGACTGCAATCGCTCTTTCGGTAGGTTAGCCATCTTTTGGTTGCACATTACTGCCTTGTACTTTCGACATGTGACACACTTCGAGATCACACTCTTGCATAACTGACCTGCTCCGAGAATCCAGTATCTTTGTCTTAAGTGAGAAAGCATGGCATTCTTCCCCATATGTCCAACAACCTTGTGTGATTCCTGTATTATCAACCGGGACAGAGGTGAAGTTTTGGGCAGGATGACTTGATGCTTACTTTCAAAGGGTATGTTGGCTCTTTCTAACCGTCCACCAACTCGAATGACTCCATTCTTCATCACTGGATCCAGCTTGCAAAGAGTACTTGACTTCTTTAGGAATAGTTCTGTTTTCAGTCCTTCACATGAAAAGTTCAAATCTTTGAACTCATTTTTGAAATGCTCTTGTTGTACTAACTGGATCAACTTCATTTCTGCCTTTTCAAGACATTCAACAGTTAGTTTAGGTGCCGCTGTTACAGTTTCTGATTGACATGCATGTTCCTTCTTACTTCTCAGTGCCTGGAAGGTGAGCATGATCCAGGCAACGCCCCGCTTCAGTCGACTCCAGTTTGAGTAGTGAGTAATTAACTTCTCTATCACAGACGGAACTTCACCCACAATGGCAGAACTTACACACTTCACGTCTGGGTCAACATCTAAGCTGGAATGTATAAAATTTGGTACTTGTGGCCAACAACTTTCATCTTCCCACAAAAAGGATGGTCCCTTTAACCAATTTTCTGATGCTAGGAGTTGACTGACATTTTGTCCTCTGAGGCTGCGTCTGCAGGATTGTCTTTGGAGCTGACGTATCGCCATTGTTCTAACCCAGAAGCTGCTCGGATCTTCGCTATACGATTTGCCACGAAAGTCTGAAATCTAGCTCTCTCATTCCATAGGTATCTAAGGACCGACATGCTATCAGTCCAAAAGGTTACATTGTCGATCGGATAATCAAGTTCCTTCAAGATGACTCTACTGGAGACGAGCGGCGACTGTAGCAGCTGTGAGTTCCAGCCTGGGTATCGTCACCTTCTTTAAGGGAACTACCCTTGCTTTCGACATCAGGAAGCTGCAGTGTACTTGGCCGACTTCATTCTTCAACCTGATGTATGCCACAAAGCCATAGCCATCTTGACTTGCATCTGAGAAAAGGTGAATTTGATAACCTGTCACTACCCCAAAGTTAGCTGGTTTGTGACATCTTGGGACCTGAAAATCTTCAATCAGCGGCAGTTCAGCTGCCCACTGTTTCCACCGTTGCAAGTCTTTATCTACTACCACCTGATCCCAGCCAAGATTCCTTCTGCATAAGTCCTGCAACAACACCTTGGCCTTGAGTACAAAGGGAGACAAGAATCCTAGGGGGGTCAAACACAGAAGAAACAACAGAGAGAATCTTCCTCCTGGTCTCCACTTCTTCTCTCAAATTAACCCGAAATCCTAACATGTCTTTTCAACCTCCCAATGTATTCCCAGTGCTCTCTCACTTGGCATTCTGTTTTCTTCCAGATCAAGATTCTGTAAACCTTTAGCCCTGTCTTCTTGTGGAACACTGTTCATAACTGCTGGACTGTTCGAAACCCATTTGCTAAGGTGGAATCCTCCCTTTTGACATAGGTCACTCACATCCTGAATGAGTTCAATAGCTGCTTCCTCAGATTGAACGCTTTTCAGACAGTCGTCCACATAGAAGTTTCGACGGACAACCTCTATGGCGTCCTCAGTTGATGATTCCTTATTGTCTTGGGCTGTACGCAGTAAAGCTGAATTGGCGCATGCAGGAGATGATACAGATCCAAAGAGGTGCACAGTCATTCTAAATACTGCTGGGTCCTTTGACTTGTCAGAATCCGCCCACCAATAGAACCGCAGGAAATCTCTACTGTGTATAGGAACATGGACTTGTAAGAACATGGCTTCTATGTCTCCCATAATAGCAAAGTTCTCCTGGCGAAAGCGCATAAGGACTCCTAGTAAATTATTTGTCAGATTGGGTCCACTCAATAACTGACTGTTTAATGACACCCCCTGGAACATTGAAGCACAGTCGAACACAACACGGATTTTTCTGGGCTTCCTTGGATGGTACACACCATGATGCGGTATGTACCAGCACTTACCAGCTTCCCCTTCAGCATCCTCCTCTGGCACTAACTCTGCATAACCCTTGCAGATCATCTTAGTCATAAAGTCATCATAATCTGCAGCATACTGTGGATTTCTGCTCATCTTGTCTATCAGCTTCATGAAGCTGGAGAGCTTGTCGGTGGTTATTAGATAAGTTGACCTGGCGGAACGGCAGGTCAATAGAGTAGTGTCCGTCACTAAACTCAATTGTCTCATTAACTATGTTTAGGAATTTTACATCTTCTTGGGATAAGGCCTTTTCTTCATCTAAAATCGATTCTGGAAAGTCTATGCTTTCAGCCTTCTTTACAAGCTGATCCAGTCGCCTTATTTCCACTATCTCTTCTACAGCTAGAATGTCGATCCTATTGACATATTGCACTACATGACCTTGGACTTGGCTTCCATCATGCTCAAAGCAACACGTTCCAAACAATCCAGCCAAGCACTGTCTGTGTCGCATGAGGGCTTCCTTTAGGACCACACCTGACTGTTAAAGGAGAATAGGCTTCTGGGATGTTGTTACCTATCAGGAGTCCAATATCTGTGTCAATCTGGGGCAAGTTGATATCTTGGAGATGATTCCATTTCTTGATGTCTTGATTGGTAGGAATGTGACTGGTTGAAACAGGCATCTTGTCTTTGGTAAAAACACTCTTCAACAAAACTGTGTTATTCATTTCCAGATCACTAACTTCAATATTCTTGACTTCATATGTGTTCATGATGTGAGTGTTGCCCATTGTCTCCAATGTAATGCGTTTCTTCATACCTTCCGCACCTAAGGCTCTCATCAATTTCTCGGAACAAAATGAAGCTGAACTGCCCGGGTCCATGAATGCGTAAGTTTCTACTACTTGCGAGCTATTGTGCATCTTCACCTTGACCGGGATTATCGCCATTGCACATTGCCCACTCACTTCCGATTGGCAACACAAACATTCTTTCAGGTCGGCACAGCAGCTTGCTATCTTCTGCTGGGAAACTTCTCTTGTAACTTCCTTTTTCAATGTCCCTTGCTGTAACCTTGGATCCAAGTGCAGGATGGTTTGATGTCGGCCGTGACAATGTTCGCATGAGACGTCGGACAGGCAACCTTTACTGACATGACCTGGCTTCAAACACTTGAAACAAACTCGCTTTGACTTCAGGAAATCTAGCCTATCATTAATGGAGAGTGCAAGCAGCTTCACACACTTTACCATATCATGTTGGGATGATCCACAGAAAAAAACATTGTTGAACCTTGGCATCACATGGATTCTTGCTGTCTGATGGACCTGATAATTTATTCATGTGAACTTGTGTGGCATGTGAACTGAACCTCATACCTGTGTGCTGACCTGGTTTGAAACTTGAATGCTTTGTCTTGCTTTGAGTTGGCTGTGTGTTAGGGAGTTTCATTGCCGCTCTCCCAAAAACTGGGTCGTTAACTTTCCTTGCCTCAGTTCGAACAAAATCTGCCAAGTCCTTGAAGGTAACAAGTCTCTTTCTTTCCACTACAGCTCTCCATTTATCATGATGATGGAAAGGCAACTTCATTACAAATTGCTTGAGATGGTCAGAGTTTTCTAATATCTGTACTGCACGGATACTTTTCACAGCATTTTCACATTCTGTTAAGAAAATGGAAAACTGATCCAGTGCTAATGGATCATCTGGCTTGATTGGTTTCCAATTGGCAGCCCGTTCTACAAAAGCGTTGGCTATGACCTCATCATTCCCATATCGCTCCTCGAGTTCCTGTATTGCAGCCGGGTACCCATGTTGAGAGTCCAAATAGCTGTAGCCACTGACAACCTGGTGAGCCGGACCAACAGTGAACTGTTCAAGATAGTTCATTCTTTCGTCATCATCTTCAGAATTGATTACTATCTTTGACTTGAACTGCCTCAAAAAACTTCCTGTATTGCAAGGGATCACCAGCGAACGGCTTGATATCCGGAGGTGGTTTCCGCATTTGCTTCACCATTTGCATAATAATTTCACCTGAGCTTTGACCTTGTTCATCATACCTACATGTAGGAGTTCCCCTTATGGAATTCCCCTTTACATTTCTCATCAAATCTTGTTTTGAAATTGGGACATCAGTGGTACCTACTCCATGACTCCTATGATCAGTCTGCATGAATACTTGTGAAGTAAGATTTAAATCCTTGTTTATTTTACTTTGTATTTCCGAATGACAGCTTGACCCTTCCTCACTTAATTTTGCATTCGCCATTTCTTCCTCTATTATCTTTGTCTTGGCTTCAACAATTGCAATTTTAGTTTGTAAATCTAATTCTTCTTCTTGCAACTTTAACTTCAATTGTGCCATCTGGAGTTCATGTTTTTTCTTAAGTGATTCCTCTTGTGCTTCTAGCTCTGCTCTAGCTTGTCTTTCCTTCATCTTAGCAGAAGAAAGAGCACTCATCACAGATGAACCCCTTGATTTTCCAGATACAGATGGAAGATGTTCACTTGACTTCATAGAGGACCAATCTTCAACTTGTGACTTGAAATATGAAGCACTGCTTACTGTTTCACTCCACAACCCTACTTCAAACGCTGCCAGTTCATCATCTGTCAACATGCTGACATAATTGTCCCTTTCTTCAAACAGATTGTCATAGACAGCTAGCCATTCCTTGTATGATTTTCTTACAATCTCCTGGTTACAGTCTTTGGAAATTTCAGTCTTAATTTGGCTCTGAAGAGTGTTCATAGTTCTTATAATTCTCTTGATATTATCTAGAAGCACACTTTTCCAATAATTCTTTCCTTTTTCTGTCATTTCTGTCTTTCTTTCACTTCTTCTAAGTACAGAAATACCAGACTCACTTCTAACTTCTTCGTCCTTACTTTCTGCACCTTCAGTGTACAGTGCTTCCTTCTCACTCATGTCTAGTTTTTCTATGCAGTGGCACCTAACTTCGTCAATGCAGATATAACTTCATAAACACAAACGTCTTCTTTGGCTTCATTCACTTTATTCCACGTGACTTAGTAATTGCTGTACATGTGACTTGCTTTGCCTCTCAATGACACCATTCATTTGTCATACTTACTTAGACTGATTGACTGAAACATAAATAAAACAACTTGCTGGTAAAGGTCACTTGGCGTTGCAAGAGTGAAGCACGAAAAACCATGTGGTCGAGAGAAATTACAATTTTTACTACTAAATGAAATATTACCACCTTTAAACTTATGTGAATGAATAAGAGATAGAATGTGCATCGAACCATGACGGAAACAGGTGCTGGTTAATTAATAAAGTTAATATTTACCGAAGTTTTAGGCACACGCATGGCCTGACTTGCATTCACGGGAAAAACGTGCTTGGATTAGAGTGACCTCCCTTGCCCTACAGATTTTCTACATTCCAGAAAGTCACTATTCTTCTCACATAGTTTTCGTCTCCTCGATCCACATGGAGTAAGCTAAATCAATTCAAGGTCCCATCTCTTTATAGAAATTCTGAAATATTTAAGACATGGTTTTTATAGACACTCATTTGAATTAATTTTGATGTTTGGATATTGGCGTGATATGCAACTGCTGACACTGACAATATTCGGTTTGGATAAAAATATTACTCCTTATTTTTATCCAATCAACAGATACTATACTGGTCATAGGCCTTCAGATTGTGCTTTTGAAACTTTAAAACATCCTAAAATGTGTGACAAATTTAAGAATATCTAATCGCGAATGCAACCATATCCACCACATTGTTCTTTAATGTAACAAGTTTTGCTATTTCGGTCGACCCAAACCGAAATCAGCTCGCTCAGATTTGTTTACATTGTGTCACGGCTTTCTCGCCTGTCTCATTTTCAGGTTTAAGGTGTACCAACTCAATGCCTAGTAGTGACTTAAAACGTGGAAGCAAAAACAATTTTGTAGTTACAAGAATTGTCTGTGTTTATAACACTTGCAAAATCCTAAACTGCTATTTGTTGTCATCTATTGGTAATGTTTTTGCACATGTGCAAAAGTGTAATAAATTCGATGTAAATTCTCACCTTCGAGCAGACGTAGGTTTCAGTGAACAACGACGGTGCCGACATTTAACTGCTCGTTAGGCCTATCGCATTCCTTGATTCGCCTCAATGTTTTGTGTCTTGATCGTAATGGTTTTGGTAAAGGTACACATCAAATCACAGCAATATGTAATAGATATAGTGAGTGTAAATGGCATAATTCAAAGCACATATCAGCGAAGGCATCGTTTGACCCTGGAAATAAGTCTGACAAATCCATACAGCTACCGACCTGCTGATTGGCCAAATTGACGCATAGCCAGTTTTGATTGACAGACTGGATCGGTCTATTCCAGCACTGGACACGGAAGTTTTATGGCTTCTTCCAAAACATATCCAGTTACAGTCTCGATCTTTTATTAGAATAGTTTGGTTCACCATGAACACAACAAATTCTCTCCACGTGATCTGAGTTACAAGGACCTAGTGTTAAGCATGGCAGAGTTATGGCAGAATCATAAAGGAAATTTCATTTTTTGACAATTTTTGCAAGTCATTTTTAAGACTGCGTGTATAGCGTTATACCTAAACATTCAAACTCATTTCATTTATACTTATATGCGTTCAGATATCAGACAGTATTTTATTTGCTCACACTTCTGTAAAGATGCCAAATTTGCTAAATTGTTGCAGTGCCAAAAGAATTCTTTTAACACATAACAAAATTTCCGATAACCTTTAGCAGTGTCTATTTTCCAAACTGCCGAAGTATTTTCAGTTGAGTTCACACCATAGGATAGGAAATTTAATATTCTACATTTCTGTGTCACTTTATAGCTGTTGGTAGATCCAGTGCCCCGTGAACGAAATTCTCACGCAACATTCACCTTTCAGATCTTAAAAACACCTCAGCATCCAGGGGTTTAATGACTCTTTAATGATACCCCAGAACCTTCATTAAGTTAATGACATGCAAATGACTACACGACGTCATTAAAATGTTAGTACAACAGAATATCATGATAAATTACTCAATGAACATTTAATGACACGTTAATGCCTCATTGAAGTTTGATACAACCGGGTCCTGGCAATACAGTGAGGTAATTGTCTGATGCATCCCCAACAAAACTTCGAACGGAAGTGTGTAAACTATTTAAGCTCATTAAAATCGGGTCTTAACTGTTGCAACTGCTAAACAAAGGTGAGAGGACCACTAAAACATCTAACCTCCAAAAAGTTGAGTATTCCACAGGACAACTGCAGGGTATGTAGCGGATTGTATTAAAATAACCATCTATCTTCAATTTCAGTGAGATATATTCAGTTGAAAAGAGGGTTACATTGCCAGTGGGAATTATGATCTTTCCATCTTTCTAACATTTCATTCAATTTTCATATTTTAAGTTGAACTTTTTACAAAATAGTTTCAGAAGTGAAGTCTGGTATGAAATTTGCCTGTTTCCCAATTGTGTTGTATGGCTTCTTGTTAGTCAGTTCACCTTTTTTTAAAGTTCACAAAAGGTTGTTCTGCAATAGGATGTCTATAGACTGTTGATGAGAACTAAGATCTGATGGTGTTGGAGACTCTATCCCACTTACATGAGTGGATATAAAGTTGGTACAACGTGTAGTTTAAATCGGATATTGTACTAGGTTGTTCCTGTCTCATGGTATATTTCACATGTTATCTGTTAAACTGCAGAGATCCCTGCAGTGCTTATGTGAACTTACAGGGGTGATAGGCTTGATAAACAGTTGATACCTTATCTTGCCATTGTATGAATTGCTTTGATGCATCGTATCAGCACTGTGTAACATGAAATTTGGTCCCAGTTGATGCTCTGCCTAAATATTTCTTAATGCAGAATGCTGCAATACAAATAATATCAAATGTGTCAAATAACTATCTTTTTTGGAGATGGTAGTAAAACACTCTACATTCAACCTTTATGATTCATGGCATTATCTAAATAAAGCGAATGTGAAACATGGATACACTATTCAGGAAAGGAAAGTTGGAAATTTGACATTGATGTGTTGCTGCTGGTCCAGGTGATTCACATATTGGTGAACTTTGCATTTTGTCTGGGAGGGAAATACATTGTGGAACAGGAATGTATATTCCTTGTGTCCAACTAACAGTGGTTTTTCATGTTATAAAACAAACCTCTTGCACCCTGCTATGAAGTAAGATGCTGCCTGCTGTTTTGAGGTTAACAAAACTTCTGTGACACAGCACAAGTTAACCTCAGGCCAATCGAACAGCTTTTCTCTATCAATTTTCATTTGATCACATTTGTTTAATGCTCAAGTCACAAAGTTTGGTCATCAGATCCATACATTAAAGTAGCCTAAACAAGCAATAGAAGTGCTTTGACCAAGTACTCCTTGCATGGAGGTGTTTTTTGTGTTGTAGTTAAAACAATAACGCAAAGAGATTATTTTGAGTTTATTATCTGAAGCTGGAATAGTTAAACAATTGTGAAAACATGAGAGATGCAGTACAGTACTGTTACACGTTGTTTTTGATCACTGAATGCCTAACAGATCATTCCTCATCAACTGGCATTAACTGTCTCTGTGCAGAAAGATCTAAATAGATACTGCACATAATGAAATACTCCAAAGGAAGACCTTCTTAAACAAGCAATCATAATGGTTCTTTGTCAAACTTATACTGTGCCAAAATGTCCAGTTTTGGGGTGAATCTGCAGGAAATAGCAAAATGAATATACCAAGGTCCCATGCTGAACATTGTTACAGTTTTGAAGCATGAGACCATTGTGATAAGCCATATATGCGATTGTCACTGTGACTTAGATGTAGAGCTGACTCATATGGTTTCTTGGAACCAAATGCTCAAAGACACTTTATTAAAGACACGTTATCATTAAAGGAAGTAACAATACTGATTATGCAATATTGGCAACATGCTGAATGATTACATGATATGAGCATGTTGCAAATAGGAACATGTCAGAATCTTGTTGCCCAAATGCTATCTTTCATCATCTGTCAGAGAATACCTGTCCAGATGGTGCAAAGTCATTTGCAGGGATGGCATTTGTAACACAACATCCACATGTCACGTACAAATTTCCTGCATGTCATTTGAATCAGAAACATCTGTCATGTAGGGAATATCAACATTGTCAGTTAGATGTTACACTGATTTCATGTTTCCCATCTCATCTTTTATTGTATCGGGATCCATGTCATGGCTAGTACTGACATTTTTCTCCTGAACACATCATTGGGAGATGTGTACATCAATGTCAAAATCCACCCACCACATTCAATGAATAGGTTGAACGAGTGAAATTGATATTGATAGACTCATCAGAAGCATGCTTCAAAGAATTTATGCATTTGTGGCAAACAGAGATAGTTTTACCCCAAATACTTATATGCTGACTGCAAAATGCAAATTTTGACTTTGACCCCGACCTCTTTAACTCCGAGGTGTGCTGTCATCTAATCCACACCAGTCATAAGGACCATTAGATCTGATCACCTATTGCCCATAAGAAATGATAATATCATTTCCATCTGCCACTATCATATGGATCAGCAGATAAGCCTTGATGATTTCCAATATCCTCTGCTTTTTCAGCACAGTGTATGATGTTTAAAACTTTTATCCTTTTATCATACATTGTTTTCCAGAGAGTATAACTTGGGATATATATTTTTGTATAAAGTTATATATGACATGTATTTGGGCTGGTCTTTTTGTTTTCCAGTATGTTCATACAAAAATGAATGTAAAGAAATTATCCAAAATGATTCAGTACCTTACCTGATGCACCTGCATCTCTCAAGTTTGATTATTAAAGTAAATTATTACAATAAGCAAAATGTTTTAGAAACAATAAAAATAAACAGATATGTGTTATAAGTAATAACTAACATATTTTTTGGATATTATAATCAATAATACTAATTAGAAAATCTAAAGATGATCCAGTTGACACAGTTGGATTGTAGTGTTGTTAATTTACTTCTGGTTTCATCACACATTATAAGCAATACAAACTGGACAAATGGGCAACAGAAACAAATGTTCATTTCACTCCAGAGTTTCCTCTAACTTACATGTATGCACATGGATAAAGCTATCAGCTTTATGCTTAAGCCCAAAAGTGAACTTGGATCCACACTTTTTTAGATAAATGTAACTTTTTGTGTAAATCTGCAGAAAACTCAATGTGAAGTAAACACTTTTCCAGGTCACCTATTCATTGTGTGTGCGGTCATCACATCCACAATATATACACATGGAAAAAGTACAGCGACACCTATGATCTTCAACCTCTATATAGCCCTTTTTATTCATATCATAATTATGTTTGTGTAATTATTTTGACACTACACAGTTC